AAAAAAAAAAAAAAAAGCAGCAGACCGGTCTCGATGGATATCCATAGAAGTTGAGTGTGATAGGAGCTGAAGACCCGACTCCATACTTTGGATGGTGATACTTGCAGGTAGACCCAAATTTACACATCCCCGTCCGCATGTAGTACTATAAGAGTAGATATAGATCAGATGCTTTAATAGAATAATATACATGATGCACCGAAATATACCAAAACAGGGGGGATAAATGTGAAACTACAATCAGGAAGCTGTGCTGACAAATCATGAGAGAAATAAAACCACTTCAAATCTTTTTTGTCTAAGCTGTAGTATAGTTATTAAATTGAGACAAGCTTATATATGTTCAATTAAATTAATCCAATTTTCATGCTGAAAAGGATGAGTTCAAGGGAAAAAAAAGTTCACGAAGAAAATAATTCTTGAAGAGTGAGCTGATACATGGAAAAAAGAACATGCTGGATTTAAACACTATGAAGAGGCCGACCAACGAAGACGAATCAATAGTTAGCCTCAACAAGTTGCTTTCTTCATAGAATAGCTTAAGAAGTTAAACAGCAGAATGCAACAGGTAAATATTCAAATTCTAACACCAACCAGAAAATTGCCTTATTTCATTAATAACAGTCAATAAAAGGATATGGATACCAAATAGGAAAAGCAGTAACAAAATGAAACCAACAGATGATCTTCAAACTGAATCAAAACAGGACAAAAGAACGTAATAAGATAACAAGCCTACAAAACACCATAAATCAATCAGAATTGCTCCTTCCTCTAACATGAAACAGTAAAAAGACAGATTACTTAGGAACATAAGGTACGTTCACATTTGCCAATGTCAAGGATTTAACCACATGGATCAAAGATCAGCATCCTTAAATCGTCAACATGAGGACCGGTTAACGAAATAGCATAAAACACACATACTAACACCTCGGCACAACCATCTAGGTTGGCATGCAAAGAGAAATTAAGAAAAACAAATACATAATTATATAACACAAACTCACCTTTCAAGCCCCACATGAAGATGAATTAATGATGTTTTCCCTTACAAAATTTTGTAATAAATAAACACAATAAATTCATTTAGTGGTACATTTATCAGCCACAAATTAGTTAATACATATGCATGTCCTACCACATTAGGTAAATTCATTTACCTTTATTCCTAATACGTAGTTATGACATTTATCGAGCAATAATATGTAGTATATACTTTAAGTACCCCAAAAAGGGGTAAAATAACACATTGTTACCTGACAGACAGGTTGACCCATGCGCTCGGGATAATCAACTCCACTAGTCCTTACAGATCCCATTGCCTGTAATCAAGTAAAAATCAGTCAGCCCAAACACATTCTTGCCTAAGAAATGCGATCACCCAAACTTGTAAACAAAATCCGATTACAAGATTATGAACCTAAAATCTAAGGAATGCCATGTTTTTGCACCATTTATGAAAAAATTCAAATAATTACCCTAACTCAAAAGGACGAGTGTGCACCACTCAAATGCGATAATCCACCATGTGCCCTTACTTCAAGCTTAATGCATGCTTAACAATTTTTGTGATCATTCAAAAATGTAAGTTTCCCCAGATACACAACATATCAACTTCGTAAAACCGAAAAAAGGAAAGCAAAAATACACATAATCATATGCAAATCAGCATCAAATCTACACAAAGCCCTGGTAAATCCAGCCTTTAACTTCATTAATCACACCAATCACGCATCAAAAGTGTCGATACCCAACAATAAAGCTCAAAGTTGTTTTCTTTTACCGAATTCCGATCATGGGGATGATTGAACCGGCACCGACTGCCGTACCCACAGAACCCTGTTCTCATGAAATAGATACAATCGGGCTCATTGGGCCTCACGGGGTACGGTTCGGGCCCACCACCGAGTCCCAACTGCCACATGGGCTCTGCATCCACACAAATCAAATCTCAGATCAATCAACATTACAAAATTTCAAGGTGAGGTCCGCAAGTTTGACTCAAATTGAAGCAAAATACAAATGGGTTTCGTAAAAAAAAAAAATAAGAAAACTCGCCTTCTAGCCCGGTCTCCCCGCCGGGCGCCGCCCATTCCGCCACCGGATCCACCGGAGCACCCTCCATTGCTTGTGTCCCACTATACCTCTCCATAAACACGCCCCCACAAATCCACAATCCCTCTCTCTATAGATATATACAATTTACAGTGTATACAGAAAAATTGTGCTATATATGCAAATATAGAATGATACTTACTGATCAAATTACGTCTGGCGATATGTGTGTGTCAGTGTGTGTCTGTATCTATATACCCCCAAATTATAACAATTGCGGGCGTAATCGTGTGACAGTACAGAAGTTGCTTGATCGAGAGGGGTTTGGTAGTTGGGAAGAGAGAGAGAGAGAGAGAGAGAGAGAGATTGTTTATTTATTTATTTTTATATTATTTTCAACACTCGCACAGTTTATATATATATAGTTCACTCAAGGCAAAATTATTTTCCATAATATAAATTTTTATAGCTATTAGAAAGTTGGATTCATCATACTATGAAGAAAAATATATACTTATATTAATCAAAAATCATATTTAGTTTATATTAATTTTTAAATATATTTTTTTTAATAAAATATGCATATAAAAAATATATTGATATGGTGAGATCAATCGAACAAAAAAAAAAAACTATTATTTTGATAAATAAATGCACTTTAAAATTGATATGTGTGTGTTCTAATAAAAAACGTAAATAAAATATCATTTTCATAATATAAGTAAACATTTCTATTAAATAAAAATATGAAAAAATCAATCCACCTGTTACATTAAGGCAGTCAATACTAACGGTTAGACAATCATACTTTTTCGATAAATGTGTGCAAATTAAAATATATACTTTTAAAAAAATAACATCAATAAAATTATGATATTTCATAACACAAACATATATTTTTGTTAAACATATATTTTTGGTTAACAAAAATATGTCATCTACCTAAGTGCAAGCGGGACTAACTGTTAGACAACAATTATTTTTGAATAAATATGGATACTTTAAAACGAAGTGACATACTCTGAAAAATAATATCAACAAAATTATGATAATTTATATGCATAAAAATGTATTTCATTAAAATATAATCAACTTAATTATTAGACAAACACACGTAAACATTATATTTTTCTTTATTATTTTCAAGTTGACGATGTTGCCCCTTCTGTGGGCTATTTTCAAGTTGACGATGTTGCCCCTTCTATTGTTGAAAGGGAAAAGTGAGAAATTTAGAAAGAAAAGTCAAGAGGTTTTAGATTTCCATGGGCCTCTTTGGTATAATTTATTTCATTAATTTTGTGTGTTCGTTTTGATTTATTTATTTATTTACTTACTTAAATATTTTTCTATTTTCGAGTTTTTAAAATTTACGCGCTAAGTAGGCGCGTTGTATTTGTAGTTCGCTGCGGCTGACGTGGCAGTGGCGCAGCTACGATGGGGTTGGTTTTGGAGCCGGCAGCTCACAGAGACTATATTTTGCTCTTTAGTGGTTGTGCATATTTTTAAATCCTTTTATATAATTTTAAAGTCCACTTGAAAATGGTTTCAATTTAATACTATTTCATTCCATTATTTATTTTTGTTAATTATAATATGATATGAAAATAGTAAAATAATAATGTATAGTTGAAATATGTGAGTTGATAAATTGCAAATTTATTTTATAAATTAATATAAAGTGATAATTATTTTCTACTTTAAAAAATTACGAATGAATAAAGAACACAAAGTAAATTAGATATAGAAAATAGAGTTACGTTAGATATAGAAAATAAAGAACACAAAGTAAATTATATTATGCTAATTTTTCTATTGATATTGAATATGTTGATGGAGAAATCTAATTAAATTACAATAACAATTTTATTACTTTTCAATTGCCATTAAGGGATAGTTTAGTTTTATTAATAAAATAACATACATTTATTTTTAATTTTTATATAATCCAAATGAAGATCGTAATAAATAATTAATTTTATATAATGTATATAAAAGCTAATGAAAATAGAAAAAAAAAAAGATAAAAAAAAAATATATATTTAGGATTTGAGTTAGTCAATCATTTGAAAACTTAAAAAAATAATATATAATTGGATGTGTTATTACTTGGGAAAAATATTTGAAGGAAACAAAAGTTAGTAAATAATTAATATTTATTATAATATAAATGATGTCATAATTATAATAATTAACAATAAGCACCACAACAATCGGTTTAGGTGCATGTGGCCGAAACCACCAACACTTGGTGCAAAACTTTGTTGTTGTTGTGACCTCTCCAACTTTCTTTATTAGTGACATAATAAAAAAAATTAATCCAATTTAAGAGTTTAATGTGACATATGACTCTAATCCCTTCGAATCCCACAACAATTGCGGATTGGTGTCTGGCTTTTCCCGAGGCTCTGAAAGAGTCATGGATTTGTGACAAGACGAGTTTCACGCTCTACTGAATGAAGTATCTTGAAGTTGGGCTGGAGAGGAAACCCAATGGACATAAGACCAGTGACAACGGAGACGAAGACTCTTTCTGGTCATCCCACTAGTGAATCTACGTATGGAGCTGGGCGAAGGGGTTAGGTGCTTATTTATAGCTAATTTTAATTATTTATTTTTCACTAGCCCCGAAAATCATATTTGATAAAACAATTATACAACAAGTATCGACTCATCAAAAATTCTATGGAGTCATCAGATTATTTTCTTATGGAGTCATCTATCACTTAATGTATTATGTCGAAAGTGTATTTATTGTAGGACACATGTCAATACATTATTTGTGAATAAGTATGGATGACTTCATAAGTCATGTCATCTGATGGCTCCATAGCAAAACTGATCGACTCATAACGTATAATTTGTCTACACAGTTAATTAAACCCGAATTAATATTTAGGCATAAACAATCAGTCAAAATTGGGTCAAACACAAGTTTTTTATAATTGATTTCCAACAAGATATCAAACGTCAGATAAGTCGAGTCGTTATGTTATCTTAATAATTATATTATTAAATGACATACTTATATTTATATTAGTAAAAAAGATACACATAATAAAAAAATAGTATATCGGTCTAATAATAAGATTGACCTATACAAAACAAACCGAAAACTCATATATGTAACTAGTTAGCATATGTTTTAATAAACTCACAATTGAGAAAATCATTACATATTGGCCACAAGCACGTTTTTACTTTTTCATATACGAAAAAGTAAAACGAACAAACTTGATTGAACATGAATAACTTCCTTTGGTATTCTATGTGTACTCTCTATTTCTATTTGGGAGGATCGTAAGGCCCATTTCCCTCGAATCAGACAAAGAAAGAAGGGGATCCCGTCGAGTTCCTACGCTTTCATGTCGACAACTCAGAATAAGTCTCTATTGAATTATGAGTCAATACATCCTCTTTAGCAGAAAAACGAGTATTCCTTCCTCATTCTAAGAATTGTGTACAAATTATTCTTTTTATCGAGTACCGAATCGAAAGATTCGTTCCCCGGGTCGATCTCACGAGGAAGGCGGTTCGGAATTTAGTTCTGATATTGACAACACATAAAAGCAAAATAAATCCTAAACATACTAATCAAATAAGGGAGTGAATAATTATCAACTAAGAAATGAATAACAATGCAAAATGTAAATCTACCTAAGAATATGAATGGAACAAAGATGGAGAAGCTAGGGAATCGGGGATAATTAATTCAATTCTAGCAAAATCGGGCAATTCATTGTTCGGTTCTAGATTGACACTCTCGCTTAGTCATCCAGCGGTTCGCTCCCAATAACTCTTCGTAACAAGGGATTGAACATAGACGAACAAGCTCAAGCATAAAAAACAGGCCAATGATCCCAGTCTCAATAACTATTCGTAACAAAGGACGAGTCATCGACAAACTCGTATTTCAATCTAAAACACATAGATTATTCAATTACGAAATCATCTACCTCACGCGAGCCTATTTCTACGACTTCTCCCCTTTCGGTTCTGAAAGCCGCTAAATCAATTAGAAGGTGTTTAATCAACTAATCATATAGAATTGACAAACCCTAACTCGACAGACTAACATCCAACTGTCACCAATAGCAAGATCGAAATGTCACTTTTCGATTATATCAATCTATCGAATACAAATTCATCAATTCCTTATCAAAACAACGCACATAAGAATGAACAAATCAAGCCCGACAATTACACAATGAACAAGAACAATAAATCCCTTATCCCTAGCACAAAAGATCAGCTACATAGAACGAATTCAAAATACATAATCATTCTTCTCAAATCAACCATTATTCATGAGTTAAATAAGAGAAAGAAATACTTACAATTAATCCAAGTTCGAACGTTGAATTCGTAGTACAAGCTTAATCCGAAGAAAAAGAAAACTAATGAAAAATAAAGGTAAAAAGAACAAGAAAAATCGGAGAAGAAGAAGAGGGGGAGGAGAAAGAGATTTCGTGGTGTTCTCGGGACCTAGGGTTCGTCTCCCAGAAGAGGAGAGAATGCCCCCAAACGATTCTAAAATCTGTTATTATAATTGCTGAAAACGCGAGCTCCGCGGCCGCGACTTGATCCCGCGGCCGCGACTTTTTGCGTCTGTCCGCGGAGAAATTTCTGCTGTGCGCGGCTTTACGTTTCGGGCACGTTCGGGCTCGTTTGAAGTCGGAATTGAGTTCCGTTTTTTCCTACGCGTAGCTAACGAACTCCTCTATTCAATGGTGTCAGCTTTTCCACAAGATTCTCGAAAACTGGTTCTCCCGAAGCTTTTGACCATCACACTAGAGACGTTCGCATGCGACTTCGCGCGGCTTCGCGTTTTGGCTCCGTCCGGATTCATCCAAACTTGAAATCCAATTCCGCCTTTTCCAATGTGTAGCCAACAAGTCCATCTACACAACCATGATTGCCCGGTCTATTGTTGAGCTAAATCGACTCCTCACGAGACTTTCGACCTGCACACCAAAAACAAGAAGAAAAACCGGAAAAACACACGAAAAACACAAAGAAAACCAAAATGGAACATTACACATAATAAAACACAAAACAAACTAAAAACTCACGAAAGGACCTAAAACGGAAGAAAAAGATTGATAAAACAATAACGAAAAATACAACAAAAATGGGACAAACACAATCACTGATTCTGATTCACAAATCTCTATTTAACTTATTCCGGTGTATTCTTTCCAACCTGCTTCTTTTCTGATCTCGTTGGATTTTTCCGAGAAGGTTTTATCGAAAATGTCAGAAAACATCTAGATTGATTTTTCTAGGGACATCTTTGGTACTGCTTCTTTGATCACAACAACAATAACGTCACCGATATGAGCATATCGACGATTACTAGCTCCTATAATTCGAATACACATCAATTCTCGAGCCCCGCTGTTATCTTGAGAAAGAAAAGCTTGGTAAGCAGTGAGAGAGAATGGAAAAGCTCTAGGCTAAAGAATAAATATTAACCTAACCATTTTTAAGAAACAATCTTCCAAACAAAAGGGGTCCTTAAGATAGTCATTTTTTCAATGGAAGATCTGGGAAATCAAAATTTTGATTTCTGATCGGCTATATCATGTTCCATATTATCAAGGGACTTGAAAATGCCAACCATGAATTTCTTTTGTAATATGCAAAGATGTTTGTCATCATTTTATGATTTCTATGGTTTTATTGACACAAAAGTCGTCGTTATGTTGGTCATTATAATTTCTATGGTTTTGTTTTCATGGACCTCTATGTGGATTTTCATGTCGGCTTCAAATGAAAGTAAGCACAATGATTGTTAATGCCTGAGCAAAAGCATAAAGTTAAACAACCTGTCGCTATTTACTTGGTTGTGTTATAAGATTATTTTTTAATCTTTTGTTAATAGTATTTATTTATTTTTTTTTTCTAAAATTTGTAGTTATTTTATATTTTTTTTATAATATTGAAAGTGTAATTGACTAATTTTTTGTATGTAATGGCAAATATCAAATATATGTCAATGTTTTTTAATAATTTTTGCAGTATTATTATTTTATTTATGTATTTCAACTAAAATTATGCAAACCATATATCAAATTAAATGTTGTTTATATTACTATGTTTGAAACTTTAATAAATAGATTATTAATAGTTCGTTAAATTAAAACACAATAAGGTTAGAGTTAGATATGAATATTACTTGTTCGTTAAATCAATATTATTTTTTCTCATGACTAAACTTCATGAGATTCTCATGTATCTTTGCTTTGGAACATTAGAGTTATTAATAGTTTGTTAAATTGAAGCCCGATAAGATTAGAGTTAGATCTGAATATTAATTGTTCGTTAAATCAAAATTCTTTTTTCTCATGACTAAACTTCACGAGATTCTCATGTATCTTTGCTTTGGAACATTAGAGTTGACGTACATTCTCTCATTACCCACCTCAACACTCGTAGCATACTCAATATCCACAAATCTATCTTAAATTGAATATTTGGTCCCACAATCTTCAAAACTGACATTTTGGCCCCATAAATCTATTAAGTAGTCATTTAGGCTGTGATTGGAAATAATTTATTTTTTTGATTGAGTGGGACATTTAGTTTAGTTTGTAGTAAAATAATATTATGAAATATAATAATCAAAGGTGATGTGATATGTAACAATATGAGAGATGTTATTGGAAATGATTAATATTTTAAATTATGTGACTGCAAAAATAATGAATTAAAATTAATGTACATGACAATAATTAATTGATATTCTATAATATAATATTGAAGAGAGTTAAAATGAATTAAAATCAAATTCAAAAGTTGTGAAAAAATATCCTCTTCCACATGAAGTCCCACATTATCTGCAACTAGTATGTATCTAGTGCGATGCACAAGACATCGATGTTAAATGAGTTATTTTTAAAGATTATCTCATTTTTAAGTTTAAAAAACAATAGGGATATCATTTATTTTTAACCTCTTTTAATCAACATTAAGTCCAAAAAATAAAATAGTTTTATAATCTATTTTTCAATTTTTTTTTGATCAACTTTGTTTTCTTAGCAAGAACATTAAATATGAGCATGTTAGGGCTAGCTTGTAAAATAATTAATATATTATCTCACTAACACATTTATACTAATATAAATTTGAATTTAGTATATTTATTATTTGATATAAAAGAAAATAATAGTTTTACTTATTTTTGTTTACCATATAATACGTAGTTATTATTTTACTTTAAATTTTGTTCTCATATAATGTCACTATTATTTATAAAAGTTATAAAAGTTGTACGTCTTCTTTTTATTTTTATTTTATGTCATGAAAAATATTTAAAGCATGTTAGTATTATTTATTTTTATAATCAATTTAAATATGCAAATTGATTTAAAATTTAATAGTGTATAAATATTTTATAAAATATACACACATGCTTTTTTAGAATTTAATATTCTATATTAATTAAACAACTTTGATTACTAATCCCTTCTATAATCAAGATTTTTCTAATTCTCATTATAAGGATTCATAGTATATTTAGCAAGGTTTTAAATAGCGGGCTAAAACGTTTATGGCACTGTAGCTATAGCGGAGATTTAGCGGGATTTAGCGACTAAATTGCACATGAATACAAATAGCGGCACGCTGCTAAAAAAAGTTATTCCTCAAATAGCGACAAGTTTAGCGAGCTATTTATTTCCTTGATATTTAGCATACTCTGCAATGAAAATATATTGTACAAGAATTTCATTATAGAAAACATTCAAAATATAAAATAATAGAAAAAAAATAATTATGGTTGCCAGTAATATATAAATAAATTCTAAAGAACAGTTAATATATTTTAATTTTAATTTTTGAATATTAGCAAAACTATTTAATGTATCTGGTCATTATCTCTTAAATGACAAGTTATAGTAATTTGAAGAATGATGTATTTTTTTTTTATATATATAACGAAATAAAGCTTAAGAAAAAAATTATATTGGCAAACATTAACCAACTTGATTTTGCCTGATTAATTGAAAGAAAATATTTAACTAGCTTGTTGCGATTTTCTATAAATATTTTTGGATAAAAAGTGAATATTTGTGAAAAAATAGTATTATGGTTATAACTTATAATATATTTTAATATATATCTTGACTGAAATGTAATCAAGATGAATCACAAAAAATCATTCTTGTAATTTATTATAATGGGTATCAATGAAATTATTGCAGATAGTAATAAAATTATTTAAGGAAATCATATTTTTATCATATCTGATTTGTATTATTTGAAAACGTGTATATGGAAGCAATTAATAATGCATATATTTAAAAAGTTTCCAAACAAAGGTATGCATTAAATTCTCCTAATATTCGTTACTACTATTTTTAATAAATGATTATTCTTATTATATAGATATAGACACAGAACGGGTTCCTTTTGTAACTATGCTAAACATCGTGGTCGTTTTTGTCAATTGTCTTAACATATTCAAAAACCACACCCTTCACTTGCCTCTATAAATACATCCCATGGCTAAGCTTATTACAATCACAAAGAAACCAAGTTTTATTTTCAAGAAGAAAATTAAGAAATTTAAGCCAAAAAAAAAAAGGCAAATATATTTTTATGGATCGTATAGCGAAAATCTCCTCACAAAGAGCGGTTGTGATATTCAGCAAGACCACGTGTTTCATGTGCCACGCTATCAAGAGACTATTCTACAAGCAAGGATTGAGCCTGTTTATCCACGAGGTGGATGAAGACCCGAGGACTAAGGAGATTGAGTGGGACCTCACAAAACTCGACTGCAGCCCGTGTGTGCCAACCGTGTTCATAGGCGGAAGACTCGTGAGCTCGGCTAATGTAGTGTTGACACTTCAGCTTGATGGCTCGCTAAAGATAATGCGTAAAGATGCTGGAGCTTTGTGGCTTTAGTACGTGTGGAAAACGCACGTTAACTCTGCATAGCCTTAATTAACAGTTTTTCATCATTTTTCTTTGTTCCTTTTGTTTACTTATGAATGCACGGCGTTTAGGCCGTACGAAGAGTACATGTACTCATTTGTTGTACTCTAAGAATATGGAAATAGCTCGAGTGCTAATAAGCTTTTGTGATAACTCTGGTTTAATGCCTTCAGACGAAAAGTAATTTATTCGTGAAAAAAAATACTTGATAACGACTAGATGTTAGTGCTTTCAATGGAAGATAAAAAGTCGACTTAGTTAAAATGGAACGTACAATTAATTAGTAATAGTTCACCCAACATATATAGAACTAGAAACACAACAACATCAGTGCTAATAATAATAAGTACGACGCGTGAAGATTCCAAGCTATCCAAATATAAATGAGCACAATGATTTGATGCTTGGAAATCAACTTCGAAAAGCTGGGCATAAGACTTTGGATGTGGCTTGAATGCTGAAGTTATTACGCAAGATGACTCCATTTATACGAGATAATGCACATTGTTTAGTGAATAAATGAATGAACAAACTTATTCTCTATAACTGGAACCAAACTGAAATGTCAGAACCGAATAATCTGGTTGTTATTCTTGTTGCAAGTGTGTTTTGTTCATTTTGTATGTAGACATTCAAGAGTCCAAATGGTATACATTTTCTTTTTTTAGATTTTATTTATTTTTCGCATAAAAATGCCCGAGGAAGTGTGTTGATAACTGTAGGGTTCAATAAGGAAAAATCATAGATACTATGTGTTGATGTCAAAAATCGGACGACCAACCGTCAAATATGATTCTAATTTCTTGTACGGAAATGAAGAACAAAAAAGTTAAAATTGGGTGTTTTTATTTCTTATTTGGAGAGTGTTTTTCTCCTCTCTTGAGTTGTAGGGAGAAGAGAGAACAAAAAAAAGTGAATCCCTTTCTCTTTCATCTTTTCCTCATATATATACATGCCCCTTTTGCAAGTGGGCTAAGAAAATAAATAAAAAGCTAGTACACTATTATCAAATAGGAGACAATCATCGTGGGACCTGCTTATGACTTTTGACGGTTGCAACCGACATCTGTCTCCTCGGAATTTATCGTATCTAATGGAGGCGGATTGAGTTCTCCTCAGCTCGGTAGCTGGCGGACACGATATTTGGGAACCCGGTTGGTTTTTAGATGATCAGTCTTGCGTACCTGTTTGTATATTTATTTATAATGTACTTTCGGTTCCTCGGTCATTGGGCCCGTATTTTATTATTTCGTTTGTTATTTAAATAGTCGGAGCCAAATTGGGTATCAACACTATGCTTAATGAGAATTTTTCTTTTACAGTTCATGCACAATATTTCATTTTTATAACCTGGTTTTCATGCTTTTCATATATTTTGTGGATACATGCTCCATAACAAAAAAAAATATATACAAATAAAAAAATCTAAGACAAATATGAATAATTAACATACTGCGGTTACGCTGGCCTACCGATTGGACAATCAGATTTTCAACTGGTATTCATATTTTCCAACTACAATATCATACTTTAATAACCATCATTAAGAAAAGTATGGCTTTTTATAAATTATGTATGCATTTTTGTTAAAAATGAATTACGAGCCTCTTACTAATTAGACAACCTCATACAAGAATATGTGTTGCATCAATCAGAGCATTGTTAAGTAAATTAAACACACCAAGACTCATCTCACATTTGTTAAAGTTAATGTTGTGAGGCACAATATAAATGTTGGGCACTAAACTGTAAGTAAACATTTCATGATATTATATCATGTAAACTCACTACCTCAAGATTTTTTCTTTTATCTATGTTGGAAATAATTAGTCTTAAGTAGCCTTGTCTGCGGTCTTGTCATCAGCCCCGTCATATTCTTCATTATCCACGTGGACAAGGGGACATGTAGTCTCATGCACTCAATAGAGCCGTTATAAGTTTTTTGGCTCCTTGCTCAGCTTTTTTCAGGTCATTTTGTACTACTTTGTTATTATCCTTATTGATTCTAGACAGTTCTAATGTTGCAAATATAAAGAGGTCTGTAAGCAACAATGTTCATCATCAAATGAAAACCCTTACTCGAGTTTGGCTCTTCTTCAGGCTGTTTGCCTTCTTTATTTCTTAGATGTTTCTTGTTAAGTATTAAGCCATGATTTGCTTTATATCCTTCATGGTATCAGAACAGGGATAGTATGCTTTGTACTTTAGATCTATCTATGGCATGTTAAACAAATTCCTCCTCTTCAAATCAGACTCAAAATTCTTTTTTCACCTTCAGCCATTACAACTACGTAATTGACTCTTTTCAATCAAGATCACCGATGAGATCATTTGATTTGGAGGCAACAAGTAATTCCTACAGTCAAAGGCTTTGGTCTTGAAGGATAACTTGATGGATCTACAGAGGTTCCCACCAGATTTATGCTCGGTGAAGAAGAATGGTTATTGCAGGTGAACAAGTTCATCAACTAGAAAAAAGAATACCAGCTTCTAGCATCATGGTTGTTGTCCTTCCCCTTAGAATCTATTCTCATCTCAGAGGTAGGAATGAGCACTTCCTCCCAGATCTAGAAAAGATTGGAATCTGGCTTCTCTACTCAATCAAAGGCAAGGACTATGCACTACAGGATCCCACTTTTGAATCTCAAGAAGAGAACTTTGAGTATAAGAGAATATATACACAAGGTGAAGCTTTGTTGTGATACTTTGGCTACATAAGGTCATAAGATAATTGTGCAGGATAAGATAATGCATGTTTTGAGTAGTTTGGGCCAAACGTATGATGTAGTAGTGGTGAGCATCAATGGCAGGCCAGAATAGCTCCCCATGAAGCATGTCATCGCACTGTTGCTCACTTATGAAAGCAGGATGCAAGCAGCTGCAACTATGAGTGACACCACTGCTCTACCTAGTGCCAATGTGGTAGTACAACATAATAAGTGTTTTTAGAAAACTACCTTGCAAGAGGAAGAGGAAACCAACAAGGTTTCAGAGGAATAAAAAGGTCCAATAGAGAAAAATAAAGCAGAAATTTTGGGAATAGAGTGAAATGTCGAATCTGTAGACACAAACCGCACAAAAGAAAAATGCTACAATAGGTTCTACTCTAATTTTGTAACTCAATCTCAACAGGAAAAGACCTTCAATGATGAAAAGATTCTAAGTCAGTCATCAGTAATGTTTGCTTCAAAGGAGAACACTAGTGAAAATGACTGGTTTCTAGATTATTGGGCTTTACACCACGTGACTAATGACTTCACCAAAGTGTTTCTTCAGAATATGGTGGTCCAATAAATTACAAACCGATAGTGGTTCTTGTATGGATATCACACATGTTGGTAAGACGTCCCTCACAACAAATCCTCTACACCTTGGCACACAATGCACGTTAAAATTGACAAACATGTTACATCGCCTAATATTTCTAAGAATCCTATCAGTGTAGCTTAGTTTACAAAAGACAACAATGTTTACTTTGAGTTCTTTCCTACTTTTTGTGTTGTGAAGGCTCAAACTTTCAGGGTGGAACTTCTCAAATGGAATCTTAAGGATGGTATTTACACTTTCAAGCTCTATAGATGGTCTAATCGTAATCAAGATAAGAGATGCTCAAGTTTTAAAATCCAAAATTCTTTAAAAGGTCTATGTTCCTAGTTTGGATAAAGATTAGGTCAATGTAATTCTGAGGGCATTGAATGATTGTAATCTCACTTATGTTAATAATAAAATTTAGTTCATTTTGTGTGCAAGATAAGTCTCTTAGGCTTCCTTTTTCTTCTTCAACTCATGCTTCAAAACAACGTTTAGAATTCACACACACAAATTTGTGGGGACCAACATACTAAAATCGACCTCAGGATCCTCTTATTATGTAGCCTTTGTTGATGATTTTAACAAATGCACCTGGATTTACTTTCTCAAGCACAAATCTAATACTATAACAGATTTCAATCGATTTGAAAACCTTGTTAAAACCAGTTATAATATTATGATGGTTCAAAGTGATGGGTGGGGAGGGAGGGGGTGGGGGAGATAATTTAAGCCCGTAAGAAAATTTTTCACTAGAAATGGAATCATTCATTGGATTTATTGTCCCTATACATCACAACAAAATGGTCTTGTTGAAAGAAAACATAGTCACATTTTTTAAGTGGCTTTTAGTTTGATGTCTCAATAGGGGTTCCTTCAAAATATTGGGAAAAAACTTTTAGCACTGGCATTTATCTCATAAACAGAATCTCAAGTAAGATAATAGGCTTCAACTCACCTTGCTTTCAACTCTATGGTTCTAAACCACTTTGTGATAATTTGAGGATTTTTGGATGTGCAAGTTTTCCCCATCTCAGATATATACCAAGGATAGGCTTGATTTGAGGTCTCAACAATGAGTGTTTTTTAGCTATAGTGCTACAAGATTCTTCTTCAGAATGAAAGAATAATTATTTCTAGAGATGTGGTCTTAATGAAAAGTGTTTTCCTTCTATATTATCAAAGTAACTTGAGCATAATTGTATGGATTCATGATTCTTTTCCTAATAACGTTGTTGAACCAGAAACGCAAAATAATTTTATTCATGAATCTCACTCATCAGAAACTAAACCTTCACCACTCTTACCAATTCATACAAATATATCACAGAATCACCCCCAACTACATCACACTACTCAAACAATAGTTTACCTCATGAGATTTCTAGTCCTAACAATCTTTTTACTATGAAAGCAACTCAAAATCAGCATTACATGTTGACTAGATCAAAGAGAGGTATTTTTAAACTAAAGGCGTACTTAAGTCTCTTCAATACATCTGAACCAACAAACCACTTGGAGTCATTGAATCTTCTACACTGGATACATGCTACGATGCATGAATATGAAGCCTTGATCAAGAATAATACTTTGGAAGTGGTGGCTCTGGCACCTAGAAAAACAACCATAGTTTATAGGTGGGTTTATAAGACAAAAATCAA